TGCTTATTTTTTCCATACTTTTTATTTTCCCCCACCCTCTTATTCGGCTAGTAGATTTTAGTATTGGGGCTTAAAATGTCACCAATGTCTTTCCTGTTATTTCAGTGAGTGTTACTGTGTTTTGTATCTTTTGGACATTTGGTCTTACCTTTAAACAAAGCCAAACCCGAGTGAAGTGTAAGGAACTCCTTTCTTGGTTTAGTTTTTCTAGAAGCCACTTACGTTTTTATTAAGAATTCATCTGAATTCTTTTTTCTTTTCAGTTTAGAACAGAAACATCAGCTTCCTATTTTTGAACTGTTAAAGATTACCCACCCCCATTAGAAGTTTTCATGTCTATTCCTCTATATGGGATACTTGAACACAACATAAACTGCCATTAATTTATCTTTGACTTGGAACTAAATAAATCGGATTTAAATGTCTCAGAGTTGTATATGTTTTACAGTGTTCAAATCATGTTTGTAGCTGTTTGAAGTGATATAGAAAACTCTCATAAATGTTTGGTTGCAAAGCTTTGTTCAAGTGCTTAAAATCAAATTGATCATGGGAGTGCTGCAGAGGCATTCATATGCAATAACAGTGTATAAATTGCTTGGTGGGATCATGAAGTATAATCTGGCCAATAATTAGTTTCCCACTGTTGCATATGACTTGGCTTTTGGTGGTGGTCTGCTGCATATATAGCAGCTCAGTTTTTTTTTCTGTATTAGAACACTGTAGCCTAATTACTGGCCGCCTTATAGGCTGAGCAATGAAATGTTACAGATGTTCTGTGAGATCCAGAAGATCGACATAGATAATATAATGATCTCTTCAGGCCTTCATCTTTATGAAACTGTTCTGCAATAAATGGATCCAGCAACTCTCCTAAGCCTGCCAGGATTGCGGATATGTTATTTCCTGAGTGTCATTTCTTTAGATCTATTAATTTACAATAATTTTTAACATCTGAGGAAGCAAAAGTTAGGAATTTCTGTCTGTTGTAAAATCTGATGGGTTCATAGCTTGCCCACTTAACTATGACCTTCTGTTTTGGCATTTGAAGGTAAGAATGACAGTACAAATGTATCTTAAACTTTGTGTAAAGACAATAAAACAAAAGTATGAAAAATCACAACTGTGTCTTTTGAAATGTTTTTGATGATGGTACAAATTTAAAGGAAATGACCCATTAATGTACTTCTTGACCCTATACAATATGGACCTTCATTTATATGAGGTTAATACATAGGTAATAGCTCTTTGTTCTCCTGATATCAAATGCTTGTATCTGCGCATAAAACTTGGTCTCCTGTACCTTTCACGGATTTAATGAAAAATTCAAAATCCTTCATATATAGCATGACTTTATATTCTGTACTGGTAATCAGAACAGGATTTTTGAATGAAAAGCAGGATTCACCATGCTTAATTTTCTACTTTTTCCAGTATGACCATTTCTGTTGTTACTCCTGTTCACTGGTTTGTAAAATTATTTTTATTTCATGTCTTTTCCAATAGACAGTGTAATGTAGGTACTGCT